AATTTATTCCTTTAGCAATATTTGACATTATTGAGTCAATTGAGCTTAGATACGAGTGGTTTGGAGGCGGATTCTAGGGGAAAGACCCTGGTAGAGCTTTGAGATGACTGTGGAGTGAGGTAAGTGTTGAGTTAAACCTTGATTTTATGGAATTAGGAACCCTTGGACTATGTGCTACATGAATTTCATGTGTTGCCGCGTACATGCAAGGTGACGGGTGCTTATACGCCGCCGAATTACTTGTTTCCCTGATTTTTCGCTTTCCCTTAGTTATCTCCTTTCATGCCGTAGTTGTTATGTGCTTTAAATGCCTCCCATGCTTTATTTACTACTTGTTTCTCATGTTAAAAATGTTAGACCGTTCCATGCTTTTCATGACTCGCTGCTAATTGCCTTAATTGACATACATGCACCTTTAAATTGTCATTTACTGAACTTGTCTTGCTGTGTAATATTACATATGTTAATTCCCAAGTTGGCACAAGGTTTCCTTTCTGATTCAGTTTCATATTCATCAATCGTAGAGGTTCTTGTGATAAGAGTCATTGTTTGATTGTATTCATTGAATATTACCGATATGGTTGGATCGGGTTGCACCACAACAGGTGAAATAAGGATGGATTGATATGGGGTGAATTGTACTGATATGGTTGGATCGGGTTGCACGCCACAACAGGTGAAATAAGGGTGGATTGATACGGTAAAATAAGGGTGAATTATGATAATGATTTTGTTATATGGTGGGATCGGGTTACGCACCGCAATATATATTTGTTTATTATTATTGATATTATTACGGTGGAATAAAGAAGGATTGTGCTGTATGGTGGGATCGGGTTGCGCGCCACAACAACCTATGTGTTTCTATTTCCTTGTGCTGTGTTGGTTTTCGGTATTTTTCATACGAAACTCTAAGGATTGGTAATTCTGATCGTTACTGGTTTTACTTCGAGGATTTAGCTATTATCTTCCGTTAACTGCCTTATTTCGTTCTATATTTTCCTTTCCTGTCTCTATTTTATACTGCGTACAGGTTATAGTGTAAGTTACCCGCCTTTGACTCGTCACTACTTCGTCGAGGTTAGGCTCGACACTTACAGAGTATATGGGTTGTACTCATACTATACTTTGCACTTCTTGTGCACATTTTGGAATCGGTCCCATCGGCGATTAATAGCGTGCTCGAGTTGGCTAGCGGTATGGAGACTTGAGGTACAGCTGCTCGACGTCCGCGGCCCCTTTAGTCCCCTTTCCTTTTTATTTATTGTGTATTTTCCTCAGACAACTTTATGTTTTATTCAGACCTTTATTTGTATTACTCTAGTAGCTCGTGCATTTGTGATACTAGGTCCAGGGTTGTATCAGATATTTCAGTTGTTATGGCTTCCGCACTTTACTTTAGATTTTTTACAGTTATTTCGGCTTCTATCTTATCACTTAATTTGAACTATTGAAAATGGATAAATTGTTCTAACGTTGGCTTGCCTAACAAGTGAAATGTTAGGCGCAATCGAATTTGGATTTTCAAAAACCATTATTTGTTTGGATTGGGTGTTGTTGTAAATAATTGGGAATATTGTTTGGAGTTTATATCTCAATTTTGAGGATGTTTTGGTGAAGATTACACTTAATTTTGGCTGAATTCAAATTGGAACTCAAATAAGAAGAAGAAGAATACATGACATACAATATGCTTACGAAATTCTAGTAAAGTTATATTATAATTGAGTGTAAATATATTCTGTTGTAGTTATATTTTATTTGAATGTTGTATGAACGTAGAAAAATAGTTGTATAATGTATGAATCATTGTATAAAATTTGTATTTAAGTTATTAATACTATCTTTTTACATAAAGTTGTTGATATGTATCAAAATTGTATTAAGAGAGTAAGTTTTTATTGGAATTTTAGAGAGGAAGAAGCACACACCACAGACAAAATATATACAAATCAGATTTAAGTTGTATATGATATTGTAGTTGTATTTAACTGGGTAGAAATAATGTATGAAAGTTGTAGATAAGTTGTAAATAAGTTGTATAATATATAATTTGTTGTATGAAATTTGCTTTTACTATGTATGTTGTTGTAGATATTCAAATTTGCATTAAATTTGTGCGAAATTTATTTTTAATTTGTATGTTGATGTACCATATATTGTTCTAAAAGATAGAGATTTTATGTGTATAGTTTGAATATAACTACGCAATGAAGTTTAAATTCAGTGGAAGTTCTCCTTTAGATTGTGCTGATGAAATATTGAAACCTGATCGATCAAAGAAAGATGCAAATGTATTAGACTAGCAAAAATACGCCAATTACAAGCAATACAGAATCATTGAACATCTTACTGGTGTAACACAAAATATCATTAATGTGCAAGCTGAAAATTTTGTTGCACTCAACGTGCAACCTTACATTAGAACTAGATAAAGCTTTATGTGCTGCTAAGGATTCAGGAATTGTTCCATCATGTTCAATCCATTTGAAAACATAATTTCATGCCATAGTTGGGCGTCAACTCGCAGATGTAACTAGGGGCTTTAACCCTCAACTTTACTCTGCCTAGTTTTAATAAAAGGAGACAGTTTGATTAAAAATAATGCCAAAACATAAAATCAAGACCGAAACAATTATCATACAGAAATTCCTAAATATAAGTTCAATCTGGAGAGAAAAGGGGAGAGAGGAGAGAAAAAAGGAAAAGGATATAACTAAATCCCTCGATTAAAGGCACTAATAATGAATTGAAACCCTTTTAAGGTGGAATGTATATAATTTGTAAGTAACCCTTATTTAGGGCTGATAATATATAAAATTAGAACAATTTTATAAATGAATTTCAAATATTATATAGGAACGGAAAAAATCCATTCTTTTTATACACTAGATACATGTCTAGGTTGCTAAGACTACGTTATCCTTGCCGCACAATAAAGAGTAGTTCAAGTGGAAAAGACAGCAACAACCCTTGAAAAGAAGTCACAATTAAACTTTTCAAGAAATAGAATAGGCCCCCAAGAAAAGAGGATATGGAGAGAAAGATAAACTTTTCAAGAAATAGAATAGGCCCCCAAGAAAAAGGAGTACGTTAAATCACTTATCGGTGAATCAGTCTTGACATCATAAATGCGCATGCATTATTCCAGAACAAAATTTAGTTGCAATGATAATGCTGAAAATTTATTATTTCATTGTTCTGCTCATTTTCATTGTTTTACGCTATTACTACTATTTTATTATATGTAATAAGTAACTTATCTTACTTTTTAAGTTGCTAATTTCACTTTTTAGAAGTAATTACTTTTTTTTTTTAAGTGACTTGATAATATAAATTCTTTTATTATTTTTGTCTTTTTTGATAGTGGATTCCAAATTATATAAGTGTGAAGCATAATTATTGTTGTCGATCTCTCTTGGTAGTATTTTCGTCCAAGAAAGGAATTAACGGAATTTGTCAAGCTTGAAGTGTTTGACTCCAATTAAGGAACATCCCAACCTTCACCAACAAATTGTGCATATCTTTTCCAGAGCCAATTGTGATGTTGTTGTTCTTTTCTAATGCCCCGTTGAAGGTCATACCTTACGTTGCACGATTTGGATGATAGTCGCCTTAAAATAGAAAATACCCGGTCATGGAAAAGCGAAAACGGAAAATGCTTAAATAGAGATATCTCGTCGTTTGAGTTAAAATTTCAAGAAACATAAACATTAATTAAACTGTAATTAATAATAAGAAACAATTACAGTATCAGTATGTAAACCTCTATCGTGTCTCCAAGCGTAGGGGAGAGCACGGGATGAGATTTAACGTACTCCTTTTTCTTGGTGAATATTGTAATTGGATAACGATCGAGTAAGGAGATAATTTACTCCCGTAGTAGTTCCCTGGTCAGATGATATTGTGATGGCACATCTGCTAGGGGTTCACAATAATGATCGCTTTAGCCAAATTAAAAAGTCTATAATAAATATCGGCTCAGCAAATTAAATAAAGAACGTACTCCCTCCGTTCAAGTTTACTTGTTCACTATTGACTTAATGTACTCTTTTAAAAACAACAAATAATATAATAATTTTAATATGTCACCCATATTTATTATATATTGAATAATAAATTGGAAATAAACAATACTCCTCCCGTTTTAATTTATGTGTTTTTATTTGACTGACCACGAAGTTTAAGAAAAAAAAAAGAAGATTTTTGAACTTGTGGTGTAAAATGAGGCACATATATATATATATATATATATATATATATATATATATTTATATATTGTGTAGCTACAAATCATTGCATAAAGGTCAATTATTTCCAAATATAGAATATGTCATTCTTTTTGGCATGGACTAAAAGAAAATAAGTTCACGTAAATTGGAATGGTCGGAGCAATTAATAAGAATGGTAAAATAGGTAAAAACGGTAAATTATGCATTGATTTTTCAAACTGGACAAATAAAAATGGACATTTTTTTAGTATAGAAGACAAGTAAACTTGGAGGGAGGGAGTATAGTTTTTTCAAGAATATAGCTAGTTACTAAAATAGGAATCCAATTACAGCATGCAAAATATCGTACTCCTTTCGATCCTTTTTGTATATGGCTTTCGCAAAAGAATTTAGTCCAAATATTTGTCACTCAATAGACTCAAGAAGGGATAACTTTTTTTCTCTAATTCCACCAGCAGATATATAATACAATTAATTACTCATTAATAAGTGAAGTACGATTAAATATACATTTATCTCCAAATCTAGGGAAGAGCCCAATGTCATTGATTCAAAAGCTGAGCACTAAGCTAGTATCCTCTGTTTCATTAGCCCAATGTTTTAACAAATGAAACCAAAGCGCACACACCAGTATTGACTTCTTCGAAAAATGCCAAAGCCTTTCATTACTACGTACAACCAATACCTTTCTCTTTTGTCTTACACTAAATTCTCTCTTCATTTTGAACTTCCTAACCACCTTCTTTTCCTCTTTCTATTCAACACAATCCTCGTCACCCTGCCACCTTCCTAACGTTTCTGCTATAAAATCTCCCTCTGTAATTCCCCTTCTCTTTGCCAGCATAGCTCCAACCAAAATGGGAAGTCTTGATTCAAATAATAGCGCTCAAAACCAATCAAACATAGCAAATTTCAACCCACTTGACCCTGAAGAATTCCGTACACAAGCCCATCAAATGGTGGACTTCATTGCTGATTATTACAAAAACATTGAAAACTACCCGGTTCTAAGCCAAGTTGAACCGGGTTACCTCCGAAACCGTTTACCCGAAACTGCCCCATATCGCCCCGAATCGTTTGACACCATTATGAAAGATATTCAAAACCATATTGTCCCTGGTATGACTCACTGGTTAAGCCCTAATTTCTTTGCATTTTTTCCAGCCACCGTTAGCTCCGCCGCTTTCGTTGGTGAAATGCTGTGCACTTGTTTCAACTCCGTTGGATTTAACTGGCTCGCTTCACCGGCCGTTACGGAGCTAGAAATGGTAGTCATGGACTGGCTCGCAAATATGCTAAAACTACCAAAATCCTTCATGTTTTCCGGCACTGGCGGTGGTGTACTTCAAGGTACAACCAGTGAAGCTATCCTCTGTACACTAATCGCCGCTCGTGACCGAAAGCTCGAAACCCTAGGTGTTCATAATATTGGAAAGCTCGTTGTCTACGGTTCTGATCAAACGCACTCTACGTATACTAAGGCTTGCAAGCTGGCTGGTATTTTCCCATGCAATATTAGGGCTATACCTACTTCTGTTGAAAGTAATTTCTCTTTATCTCCTGTGGTCCTACGTAGAGTTATTGAAGCTGACGTGGCTGCTGGATTGGTCCCACTTTTCCTCTGTGCTACTATAGGGACCACTTCAACAACAGCCGTTGACCCAATTAGTCAACTAGCTGAGGTTGCTAATGAGCACAAAATCTGGCTCCACGTGGATGCTGCTTATGGAGGTAGTGCATGCATATGTCCAGAGTTTAGACATTATCTTGATGGAATTGAACGAGCTGACTCGTTGAGTCTTAGTCCACATAAATGGTTACTAAGTTACTTAGATTGTTGTTGCATGTGGGTTAGAGAACCAAATGTGTTAGTAAAGGCGTTAAGCACTAATCCTGAATATTTGAGAAATAAACGATCTGAATATGACTCAGTTGTAGATTACAAAGACTGGCAAATCGGTACAGGTCGAAGGTTCAAGTCGCTCCGATTATGGCTTGTTATGCGTAGTTATGGCATAGTCAATCTTCAAAGTCATATTAGGTCTGATGTTCGAATGGCCAAGATGTTTGAAGGGTTTATTAAGTCCGATCCAAGGTTTGAGATTGTTGTGCCCCGGCGGTTTTCGCTCGTGTGCTTCCGGTTCAACCCGGTCAAAGAATCTGAACCGGCATATATAGAACTTTTAAACAAGAAGCTGCTTGATTCTATCAACTCAACCGGGCGAGTTTACATCACACACACAATAGCAGGTGGAATTTACATGCTAAGGTTTGCAGTAGGTGCCACGCTTACAGAAGATAGACACGTAACTGCTGCTTGGAAATTGATAAAGGAGTCGGCCGATGCTTTACTGAGAAGAAGTTATTATTATACTACTGTTTAGAGTCTCTGTTAAAAAAATGCAGAAGAGGAAGGGTAAAGGAAAAAAATAAGTGCTTGCACTTTTATGTTGGTGTATAGGCATTTGTGATTGTTTTGTATATCTCAGACGGCAAAGTCAAAACAATCTGCATTTGTCGGTAATACCACTAGTAATATATATTAGAATTAACAATATTGATCTATATGCTCTTTGGTGGGAGGAATAATGATAGAGTATGTAGTATCACGTTGAAATTTTAAACCTCATCTTGGTGTATTTTTTAGACCGTACTCTTCAGTTAAAAAGAAGCATCTTTGTGAATTCCTCGTTTTGTTGTTCGAAATAGCATTACCAGGAAATCATAGTTACTGCTATCAGTTTTTTATGACTGGCAATCTTAACTAGCTATATTTCGAGGTTATATTTTTCTTAATTAACCGTTAAGTAATTACTACTCCATCCATTTCAATTAATTAAGTGATACCCTTCTTTATTAGTATATTCCAAAAAGAATTACACATTTTTATAATTAGAAATAATTCAACTTGAAATTTTTTATTTTACTCAATTTACCCTTAATGAGAAACTTTTATGACTATACAAATGCCATTGCTCCACAAAGCTTTTACCCCTTAAGCTTTCAAGGCCAGAAGTTTAAAAGTCTCTCTTTTTTCGTAAAATCCATGCCGAATTAAGCTACTCCATCTAAATTGAAACGGAGGAAGTAGTTAGCAAGTCCAAAAACTTTTTAGTGGTTGAGTACTAATTTTCATATTGGCGTCTTAAAAATAACAATGCGTTGTTTCAAATAAGATGTCTATGATGATATAGCAATTTTCTTAAACTAGCCGTGTAAATTTTATATCACGGTAATTTAACATGTATTAATTTCATTTTTTGATTTACCACACTAGGTTTGCTATGTATTGTTTCTTGTTGTAGATAACTTGATGTAATGGTGTAAAATAATTATACATTATCAAACACAAAAGTCAAGCTTTATAACCAAAGCATGATATGCTAGTAAAAGACAATGGATTTAATTTGTATACTTTGACAGCATAAATATTTTTATATTATCAGTATATTTTATCATGTTTTAGTATGTTACTTGCTTTACTTTTTCAGTTTCTAATCTCAATTTTGAGTTCTATGCGCTGACACGTAAAAAGTAATTACACAATAAAGTCGCTTATGAGGTAATTACATGTAAATCTTTATGTGTGGCGATTAACCATCTATATCAGAAGTTATAATCACTGGCGTTAAATCTTTTTATACTGTTAGATAATTATGTAACTTACATCTCACTGTTTTTAAATAATTACAATTATTACTTCTATTGAGTGATATAGAAGTTAAAAATCTAAGAAAGTGAGTCTCCGGGATGTCTAACGATTGCAACCTTAAAATTCAAGTACGATGTATCATTATTATTATTATTATTATTATTATTATTATTATTATTATTATTATTATTATTATTATTATTATTATTCATTTTTCAATATTATGACCTAAAAACCTTATTTTAGTTTGGAAAAGAGACATCTTTGGTTTATATTACTAAACCATTTTGATTAACATTATTATTATTATTATTATTATTATTATTATTATTATTATTATTATTATTATTATTATTATTATTATTATTATTATTATTATTATTATTATTATCTAATCAAGTGGCGATATATATGGCATTGGAGATGTTGCCAAATTAGGCTGCTCAAATTCCATCAGTCTCCGGTAATGTATTTGTTAACTAACTGAATTAAAAGTACATCGCTACTTAGCATTAAATTGTGATCCCAAGATTGTGACTTCGGTTAAAAAGCTTGAACCATGGACAGATTCAGAATTTAATTTCTATAAATTCAACTTTTAAGATCTTTTTTTAAACATAAAAGTACTTATAATAATAATAATAATAATAATAATAATAATAACAACTAGGGTCCATGACCCTTAGCACTGTCGTTAATATATATGCCGCTATGGGTTAAAATAATGCCTTGTAAGGCAATGTCATTACCTAAAGCAGTCATATTACAACACAGGTCTGTAGAACAACTTCTAACATAGATGTAACCATCCTGATCTTTGTGATAGGCGTCTATTACAAACTCAGGTGGTAAAACTAAGACACATAATTTATTGTAGCTGCATGAGCACTGCTTTTGCTCAAAGATGTGCTACCATGTTCCCTTCGCGGAAGCTATGCTTCAATGTGATCTTCCCTTGCATGGTTGCTTTGTCCATTAACTACCTGCATTCATAAATTAAATTATTGTAAGTTGGATAATCATCCTGAAGAAAACGTATGACCTCCGTGGCATCAGTTTCTACTTCAACTGGAAATATTTGTTCCCTGATGATTAGTTGAAGTGCATGCCGAAATGCTTGAAGTTCTGCTTGGATTGGTGATATTGCGTGTATTTTCTTGTGGTAGCCTGTCCTCCATTGGCCCTTGTAATCGCGAATAACTCCGCTGATTCCTCCTTCAAGATAGTTGCTCCTAAAAGCACCATCAATGTTGATCTTATACCAACCCCTAGGGAGGGCCTGCCACTTAACATTAATGCTAATTTTATGTTGTTAGTATTGGCCCTGGACGTTAGAAGTTTGTATTCCACAGTTTGGTCAATCACTTTTTTTTTTTGTTAATATGGTTGTTGGTATTGTTTTGATTGTTATGGTTTCGATTATTCCAAATGGACTATAGGGCAAAGGGTAGTATAACTTTTAAGATCTTCAATATTGAATCTATCATATTTCAAACACTACAACAAATTTGACCTAAGGTCACACTGTTATAGACAATACTTGAAAAGTGTTGCCAAAAGTATCTGTGGGGACGCTTTATAAGGTGTGGCCTTTGTCAAGTACTTTTGGATACAGATTTTAGGCAACACTTATGAAGCGTGACTTTTAACAGTAAATACTACACTTTTCAAGTGTTGTCAAATAATAAAATAATTGGCTACGCTTACTCAAATGTAATACCACGTTTATTGGGCGTGGTAATTTAACTTTGTATAAGCTACCCCATATAAGTGTGCTCTAATAATTCCCTAAGAATTCCCACTAAAACTTTTCCCCTAAATCCTTTTCCCCCCTAAATCTTTTCTGCCACCAAAAAATAATTATGCTTGAAAATATCCTAGTTTGTCTGTATATAACTTTACATTTTAGCTACTTTTATCGTACTTTTTCTTATCTTTTGGTCTGTATATAAAGTTACATTCGGTATATTTTCATCCCTCATTGTATATTCTATTCCCCTATTGTATATATTCATTCTGTTTTTCTATTTTCGCAAAA